GCCTGATCCCACATGATAAAGGATAGGGACTACTTTTTCTTCTATTAGACGTAGAGTCTCTGGTTTAATTCCTAGGTCCTTGATCCACTTTGAGTTGATTTTTGTGCTGGTGAGAGATAGGGGTTTAATTTCATTTTGTTACAGATGAATTTCCAGTTTTCCCATCATCAATTGTTGAAGAAGCTACCTTTTCTCCAATGCGGGTTTTTGGCACCTTTGTCTAATATAAAATAATTGTAATTTTGTGAGTTTAGTCTCTCTGTGTCCTCTGTTCTATACCATTGGTCTTCCAGTTTGTTTTGGTGCCAATACCATGCTGTTTTTGTTACTATTGCTCTGAAGTATAATTTAAGGTCTGATATAGTAATGCCACCTGCATCACTCTTCCTGCTAAGGATTGCTTTAGCTATTCTGGATCTCTTATTTTTCGAGATAAATTTCATGATTGTTTTTTCTATTTCTGTGAGGAATGCCATTGGGATTTTGATCAGAATTACATTAAATCTATACAGTGCTTTTGGTAGTATGGTCATTTTGATAATATTAATTCTGCCTATCCAAGAGCAAGGTACATCTTTCCATCTTCTAAGGTTTTCTTTGGTTTCTCTCTGTAGGGTTCTGTAGTTTTCATTGTATAGATCTTTCATCTCTTTTATTAAGTTGATTCCCCAATTTTTTTTTCCCTGAGGCTATTGTAAATGTGGTAGTGTTCCTCATTTCCCTTTCAGACGATTTGTTGCTGATACACAGAAATGCCTTTGATTTATGGGTGTTAATTTTATAACCTGGTATGTTGCTGAATTCATTTACTAGTTGTATAAGTTTTCTGGTGGAGCTTTTTGGTCTTCTAGGTATAGAATCTATCATCAGCAAATAGTGCCAATTTGAGTTCTTCTTTACCTATGTATCTCTTTAATTTCTTTCATCTAATTGCTCTGGCCAGTGTTTCAAGAAATATGTTAAATAGAAGTGGTGAAAGAGGGCATCCCTGTCTTATTTTAGTTTTTAGAGGGAATACCTTCATTTTTTCCCCATTTAGAATGATGGTGGCCTGGGGCTTACAGTAGATAGCCTTTACAATGTTGAGGTATTTTCCTGTTACCCCTAGTTTCTCTAGCGTTTTGAACATGGAGGGGTTCTGTATTTTGTCAAATGCTTTTCCTGCATTTATTGAGATGATCATATGATTCTTATCTTTGAGTCTATTGATATGATGAATTATATTTTTTGATTTCCAAATGTTGAACCAACCTTGCATCGCTGGGATGAATCCCACTTGATTGTGGTGCACTAACTTTTTGATGTCTTTGTATTCAATTTGCCAGAATTTTATTGAGAATTTTTGCATCTATATTCATTAGAGATATTGATCTAAAGTTTTCTTTTTTTGATGCATCTTTTTCTGGTTTTAGAATCAGGGTGATATTAGCCTCATAGAATGAGTTTGGAAGTGCTCCCTCTTTTTCTATTTCCTGAAATAAATTGAAGAGTATTGGTATTAGTTCTTCTTTAAAGGTCTTGTAGAGCTCAGCTGTGTATACATCTGGTCCTTGGCTTTTCTTGGTTGGTAGGCTTCTGATGGCATCTTCTATTTCATCAATTGATATTGGTCTGTTTAAATCATACTGATTCAATCTGGGCAAATCGTATGACTTAAGAAATTTGTTGATGCCTTCAATATCTTCTATTGGAGTATAAGTTTTCAAAATAATTTCTAATTATCCTCTGTATTTCTGTAGTATCTGTTGTGATATTACCTTTTTCATCATGTATGTGGAGAGTTTTCTCTCTCCTTCTATTTGTTAGTGTAGCTAGGGGTCTGTCAATTTTATGTATTTTTTCAAAGAACCAACATTTGCTTTGTCAATTTTTTCAACTGTTTTCATTTCAGGTCTAATTTTAATTACTTCCTGTCTTCCACTGCTTTTGGTGTTGATTTGTTCTTCTTTTTCTAGGGCTTTGAGATGAAATGTTAGGTCATTTATTTGTTGACTTTTTCTTCTTTGAAGGAATGAAGTCCATGAAATAAAATTTCCTCTGAGTACTGCTTTCACAGTGTCCCAGCAATTTCGATATGTTGTGTCTATGTTCTCATTTACCTCTAAGAATTTTTTAATCTCCTCCTTGATGTCTTCTGCAACCCATTGTTCATTCAGTATCATATTGTTTGGTCTCCAAGTGTTGGAGTAATTTTTATTTTTTATTTTGTCATTGATTTAAAATTTTATTCCATTATGATCTGATAAAATGCATAGTAGTATCTCTACTTTTTTGTATTAAGAGTTGCTTTGTGGGCTGGGGATGTGGCTCAAGCGGTAATGCACTTGCCTGGCGTGCAAGGGGCGGGGCACTGGGTTCGATCCTCAGCACCACATAAAAAAATAAAATAAAGATGTTGTGTCCACTGAAAACTAAAAAATAAATATTAAAATATTCTCTCTCTCTTAAAAAAAAAACAAACAGTTGCTTTGTGGCACAGTATATGGTCTATTTTAGTGAAGGATCCATGTGCTGCTGAGAAGAAAGTGGACCCGCTTGATAAAGGTTGAAATGTTGTACATAAGTCAGTTAAGTCAAAGTTATTAATTGTATTATTGAGCTCTATTGTTTCTTTATTCAATTTTTGTTTGGAAGATCTATCCAGTGGTGACAGAGGTATGTTAAAGTCACCCATGATTACTGTGTTGTGGTCAATTTCACTCTTGAACTTGAGAAGACTTTGTTTGATGAGCAAAGCTGCTCCACTGTTTGAGGCATATATATTTATGGTTGTTATGTCTTGTTGGTGTATGGATACCTTGAGCAGTATATAATGTCCATCTTTATCCCTTTTGATTAACTTTGGCTTGAAGTCTACTTTATTTATTTATTTTTTAGAGAGAGAGAGAAAAGAGAGAGAGAGAGAGAGAGAGAGAGAGAGAGAGAGAGAGAGAGAGAATTTTTTAATATTTGTATTTTAGTTTTTTGGCGGACAGAACATCTTTGTTTGTATGTGGTGCTGAGGATCAAACCCGGGCCGCACGCATGCCAAGCGAGCGTGCTACCGCTTGAGCCACATCCCCAGTCCAAGTCTACTTTATTTGATATGAGGATGGAAACCCCTACTTGCATCTGCAGTCCATGTGAGTGGTATGATTTTTCCCAACCTTTCACCTTCAGTCTGTGTATGTCTTTTCCTATCAGATGAATCTCCTGGAGGCAGCATATTGTTGTGTCTTTTTTTATTTATCCAATCTGCTAAACTATGTCTTTTGATTGGTGAGTTTAAGCCATTAAGGCTTAAACATTCAGGGTTATTATTGAGACATGGTTTGTATTTCCAGCCATATTTGTTTATTTTTATTATTTAACTTGACTTGATTTTCTTCTTTGATTAGTTTTTCCTTTAGGATACTACCTCCCTCTATTGATTTTCATTGTTGGTTTTCGATTCCTCTTCATGGAATATTTTTCCAAGGATGTTTTGTAGTTCTGGGTTTCTATCTATAAATTCTTTTAACTTTTGTTTATCATGGAAGGTTTTTATATCATCAAATCTAAACTTTAATTAATTTTTCTGGACACAAGATTCTTGGTTTGCATTCACTTTCTTTCAGAGCTTGATATATGTTGTTCCAGGATCTTCTAGCTTTCAGGGTCTGTGCTAAAAAATCTGCCATTATCCTAATTGGTTTTCCTTTATATGTAATCTGATTGCTTTCCTTTGTGGCTTTTAAAATTCTCTCCTTATTCTGTATGTTGGGCATTTTTATTATAATGTGCCTTGGTGTGGATCTATTGTGATTTTGTACATTCAGTGTCCTATAGGCTTCTTGAATTTGGATTTCTAATTCATTCTTCATGTTTGGAACGTTTTCTTATATTATTTCATTGAATAGATTGCTCATTACTTTGGTTGGGACCTCTAGGCCTTCCTCTATCCCAATAACTCTTATATTTGGTCTTTTTATGCTACCCCATATTTCTTGAATATTCTGCTCGTGGTTTCTTACCATTATCACTGTGTGGTCTACGTTCTTTTCAAGATTATATATTTTCAGTTAAGGTTCTTTTAGTGGCAAATAACAAAGCCTAACATAGTCTAAACCTTAGGTATTTAATAAGAATACTTACTGAGCACTTACTATGTGCCTTCCCATGTGTCAGGCATTATGTAAGGAACTGGAAAGGAAAAAAGGTAAATGTATATTAAGGACATAAGGTCCTGGTTAGAATACTGATTTGCATCTAAACTTCATTAAGAAAGAAACATAACTGGGAACTGGAGAGCTGTTGGGAACCTAGGAAATATTCTTGCTTTCTTATGTATTTTCTTTGCAAAGTAGTGTCAGTTTTCTTCTCGGTTGATCAGCTTTTTCTGTAATAAAACATTAGTGATGGATTGAAAATGGCTACTCTCAAACTCCCATGTTCATATATTACTTCCCAAGCCACAATGACAGATTAGCTCCTGCTGCTTTATACCCCTTTGATCTTTTACTTAATTTCAGAGTATAAGATAGGGATCAACCATCCATCCTTGTCTAAACAGGAGGTCAGTTAACAGGGTCACTGTGCCTTGAATAAATATTCCAAATGGTATCCAAAGCAAGTATTCTCAATAACTTATAAAAGAGAAAACTAAGACTGAAAAGTATGTTTCTCAAGTTCATGTAACTAGTGCATGCCAGAAATTGGCTTCAAATCCTGGGATTGTCCAAGTGCAGGGTGGGTATCTCTTTAACTTTGCATATGTGGAGTTTTGCTTGCCTCACTTTAGCTAATGCTTCATAGTTCTTTTTGTTATACATGCGTTCCCTTTCCAAACTTTGTCAACTTCATAAATTTTAAAGAAATGCAATGTTTAAAAAAAGTTTGATGGATTCAGGATATAAAAGGTTTTTCAAAAAAGAGAAGTATGTAATTATATATGTGCTTATTAACTTCTGTTAAAATTAAAATTAAAAATTTTTGTTAAACAATTTGCCTCTCAGATAGTTCTACTAAAAGCAGAATCTTACCTTCCCATTCTGTTGGGATATCTCCCACTTCATAGTCTGTTTCTTTTTTATTTGCTGCTTCTACAATCCTTTTTTCTCGAATAGTTTGTCCTGTAAGACAAAAGTGATAAATACATTTTTAAATGAACATAACATAGTAGTTATTACAAGTAATGTCTTCTCTTTTGATACTTCACAACCTTGATATTGTAAAAGAATTAAATTAGAAGGAAAAAGAATAGATTCTATTCAGAATTATATATTAGAAAAGACAACTTCTGAACTATAAAATTTTAAAACAGTCTTCCATAGTATGCAAAATTAATTTTGGTAGCATAAATATAGATTCTATATAAGGAAAAAGAACAATCAATCCTGCAAGACACTAATAACTCATAAAAGAATTTTAGTAAGTGTTTTATGCCTTTAAACTCACAAGTATATACACCAGATGTGCCACACGTTGCTGTCACTACCCATTACAGACCATGAGAAATTGGTACTACCCTTGCCCCACAATATATTGAAAAACTTAATAGATCCAAGCCACAGGATGGGTTCTATGGCCTGAGTTACTACCTCTCAAGGGAATATAATGAAAGAGGGACAAAAAGTGGTGAGCCTCAGATATGGTGCTTCAGGTGTGAGATGGACATGCAGAATGAAATGGCAGAAATGTAAAAACAGGAAAGCAGAGAGAACAGTAAAGAAAAAGGTACAGAGAAAATAATGATGGGATGAGAAATGTCTATTACTTATATTTCTCAAAAATGAGGAGTTTATCAAAAAACTTAACACCAAAAAAACCCCAAATAACCATGTCAATAAATGGGCTAAAGAACTAAACAGACACTTCAAAGAAGAAGAAATACAATTGACCAACAAATATATGAAAAAGTGTTCAACATCTTTAGCAATTAGAGAAATGCAAATCAAAACTTCGCTAAGATTTCATCTCACTCCAGTCAGAATGGCAATCATCAAGAATATAGGCAACAATAAATGTTGGCAAGGAGGTGAGAAAAAAGGTACACTCATACATTACTGGTGAGACTGCAAATTGGTATTACCACTATGGAAAGCAATATGGAGATTCCTCAGAAAACTTGCAATGGAACTATCATTTGACTTAGCTATCCCATTCCTCAGTTCATACCCAAAGGACTTAAAATCAGCATACTACCGTAGTGCAGTCACACCAATGTTTATAACAGTTCAATTCACAACAGCTAAACTAGAGAATCAACCTAGGTGTCCTTAAATAGATGAATGAATAAAGAAAATGTGGTATATATATTCAATGGAATATTATTCAGCTTTAAATAAGAATAAAATTATGACATTTGCCAGTAAATGGTTGGAGTTAGAGAATATCATGTTAAGTGAAATAAGCCAATCTCCCCAAAACCAAAGATTGAATGTTTTCTCTAATATGTGGATGCTAATTCACAATTAGGGGTGGGGAACTAGAGAAGTATAGAGTTACCTTAGATTATGTAGAGTTAAGGGGAGGGGATGTGGGGATAGAAAGGATAGTAGAATGAAACAGACATTATTACTTTATGCATATATGTGATTGCATGATAAATGTGATTCTATAGCATGTACACTCAGAAAATGAGAAATTAAATCCCATCTATAAATGATATATTAAAGTGCATAAATGCATTATACTATCATGGATAACTAATTAAAACAAATAAAAAATTAAATTAAAAAATATATAGTTGATTAGAATGTATTTTAAGTTCATACACAAGGCATAAAACTATTCATCGTTTTCTTCTATTTTAAAGTCTTGATTATATCCTTCAAAGCCGCTTTGTCAAAATGGTGGCTTCAAAATATTTGCCTATCATTCAATCTTTGAGCTGGTGAAACTAGGTAGGCTTTCTATTTCCAACAGTTAACAAGTATGGTTCTGTACTACAGGGATTGTGAGCTGAGACAGAGAAGACACCAGTGAGTAATGAAAAAGGGAGCAGTATGACTTAACAGTGATTAGACCAGTCTTGGATAGAAGTCTGGGCATTATAGGACACTCCTTTCTTTAACCCTCCTCAGCCAATCTTCCACCATACTAAAGAGACTGGGCAACATAATTAAAGAAACTGACATTGTTGCCTGCAAATCTCTCTTATATACTTCCTGCAGTTTTACTAACTAACATTCCTTCATTTGTGGACAAGGGCTCCTGGGAGTGAATGTGGAGGATAAAGGACAGCCTGAGAAGACCAAATGGCTGGTTGTTACTTCCTGTTTTTGGAAGAATAAGTAAAAGACTGGGATTTCATAGACAAGTCATTTAATGGCCAATAACCCTGAAGTATTTGGCCAGGAAAGCTCTGCATTTCATTATGAACTCATTTAACCAGTTTGATTGAATCCTAACATGCAAGTTCCTTAAGGTTTATAAAGAGGAGTTACATTTTCCTTATCTTATGCAATAAACCTACAGAAGGGCAGGGGATTTGTAGTAAATGTCCCTAAGTTATAGGGACAAGGCTTAGAGTAAAAAGAAAATATTAACAATGACAGCTGCATTTCTCTATCATAGCAGAGGCACAATATATATAAATGTATTTTCACTAAAATGCTGTTCATATTCATACATGAATATACCATAACAATGGTTATTACTATAAAGTATACTTCCATATCAGTTTTCAAAATATTTGAAAGTCAAATGCCTATGTCTTCATATGGTACTTACCTAAATACCCAGATATAAGTATGTTATTCTACCAATAACAGCTAAAAGAAAGAACATGGTCTAAAACAAAAAAATGATAGTACAAAGGATTCTGAAAGTATATATGTGTGTGGTCTGTAAGGTCTTACATGGACCTCAAGAGAGTTCAGCACACAAGGAAGGGATAGAGGTCTAGAGCTCTCAGAAGCACAAGTGAAGAACACATGTTACCAGTGTATCTGTATATATGTGACACAAAAAAACCAACTTTTCATTCCTATTTTTAGGTCGATAAATTTCATGTAAAGTCTCTCAAGAATTTTAAAAATCAAAAGTCATATCTATTTTGTGTGTAAATGAAAAGACAGGAACCGTAATTTATGAACTTGTTTAATCCCTTGATAATCACTGAATAAATCTTTGTTTAAAAATAGTTGATATCAAAGTTGTGCTTTTAAAAGTATACATCTCTGCTGTATACCCATCCGGTCCAGGGCTTATCTTTTGATGGCTTCTTCTATTTTCTCCTTTGTTATTGGTCTGTTTAAATTGTGTGTATCTTCCTGACTCAATCTGAGTAAATCATATGACTTAAGAAATTTATCAATATCTTCACTATCTAATGGATGGCATTAGAGCAGATTATGCTAAGTGAAGCTAGCCAATCCCTAAAAAACAAATGTCATCTTTGATACAAGGAGAGCAAGTAAGAACAGAGCAGGGAGGAAGAGCATGAGAAGAAGATTAACATTAAACAGGGACGAGAGGTGGGAGGGAAAGGGAGAGAGAAGGGAAATTGCATGTAAATGGAAGGAGACCCTCATCGTTATACAAAATTACATATAAGAGGAGGTGAAGGGAAAGGGGGGAAAAAACAAGGGAGAGAAATGAAGTACAGTAGATGGGGTAGAGAGAGAAGATGGGAGGGGAGGGGAGGGGAAGGGGGATAGTAGAGGATAGGAAAGATAGTAGAATACAACAGACAATAGTATGGCAGTATGTAAAATTGTGGATGTGTAACCGATGTGATTCTGCAATCTGTATACGGGGGGAAAATGGGAGTTCATAACCCACTTGAATCAAATGTATAAAATATGATATGTCATGAGCTATGTAATGTTTTGAACAACTAATAAAAAAAGTACACATCTTTAAAAATATAAAATAAAACTATGAGTTTATCAGATGAAGTCTTTATAATCATATATTCTTTTCCCCTCAAAACAAACAGCTTTAAAATTACTTCATTCTTGGGAATAAATCCTACTTGAATGATTGATTTTTATAAATTATAAATGAAATTTATATTCCTCATTGCGTAAGAAATTATGTACAAACTGTGCACTTACATTAATATGCTTTTGTGCAGTATTTGGAAAGACAACCTAGTTATCATAGCAAAAGCACTTCTATCCTCACGAATAAAGCAAATTGATGTGTATGCTCCTGTGTCAAATTTTAGGGTCTAATTTATATTTTAAAATCAACTTAATAACAAAAACATTTAATTTAATGTGACTTTAGGCTTAATAAATCCTTAAAAAAAATAAGAAATTCACATTGGTGTACTCAATGGGCACTAAAAATCCCAATACATAGTTGTTTTACTTAATAGTAAAAAACATTAGATTTAATTGAAACAATAAAAATAAAATTTGAATTCAAGAAGACTATAATGGTTAATAGTATATGGACTTGAAGATTAAAGAAATAACAATATATTTTTGAAACTTAAATTTTTAAAAGCAGGCTACTATTCAGCTAATTGTCCTAAAAAATGTCAGATTTTCTATTCCTTTGTTTTGAAAAATATGTAACTCATTTAGTTAAAAAAATAAAAAGATTTCCAGGTACAGGGTAGATGACAAAAGTTTAGATGGAAGACAAATTTCATCAGTTCTACTGAACTTCCAGGATCAGGATGGAAACCCTGGACACAGATATGGGGAGGAGACTCTAGAGAACAAAGTCCTAACCTTACAGTCTTATTTTTCCGTGCCTTAGGCATGTAACAAATTTTGTGTGTTCTTTTCTCTGTTTAAAAAAAAAAAAAAAGCCCTGGGGCTGAGGTTGTGGCTCAGTGGCAGAGTGCTTATCTCACACATGTGAGGCACCAGGTTCAATCCTCAGCACCACATAAAAATAAATAAAAATAAAGATTTTTTTTAAAAATAGGAATTTTTCCAGCGTGGTGGTGTATGACTGTAATCATAGAAACTAAGGAGGCAGAGCCAGGAGGGTTGCAAATTTAAAGCCAGGCAGAGCAACTTAGTGAGGCTCTAAGCAATTTAGCAAGTTCCTGTCTCAAAAAAAAAAAAAAAAAAAAGTCCTAAATATTACTCATTCTAGTATCACCTGTGCAATTTTTGCCGTACTTTATTACATTATATCCTTAATATTTTTCATAGATTTTCTTTTT